GACACATCAAAAAGATTCCAAGAAATAATTAAACAATGTTTAGTTAAAGATCATGAAGTGAATAAAAGAAAGCACCAAAAGGCTTTTACACTTCTTGACCATTTATGGGGATCTTCCCATCATTTAACAATTTGTGCACCATTATGTCAGTTCCCGCTGTTTATGACCAATCACCTACAATGTGATCACACTTAAATATGTCAACACAGCCACCTTGACTGTTCTCTCTCATGATGTTGCAACACTATAAATTTATATGTGATGGTTGTTTTCTGAGTTTTTTCTCAATATGTGATTTTACAAACTGGTACATTTAACCAACATATAACATCCAAAAAGCAAATCTCTCTATCCATGAAGTTAATAAGTTACTTATTTTACAGGGTTTTAAAACACATTACATTAGCATGTAGTGGTACGTTATGGATTGGCCTGCAGTTGGACCACCAACCATCAGTGTCTCACCTCAGAAACGCTATTCAAGAGTCATCTAGTTGGATTTTCATTTAATGTTATTCTCAAATGTACCTTTCATCGTTATTTTTTATCAAGTTTAGAATCATATTTTGAAAAGTTGTCTAGCATATTTTTTAATCTGCATCAATTTTGATACCAATGACAATTATTGTATCTAAAGTTCAGAATTTCATGTATGGTATTATACCGACGAGGACTCGGACTAGTATCATACCAGTTCATATTGGTGTACCTGATACTCAATACAACCGAATGTACTTAAAAAAAACTTAAGAAGGCTGCCAATAAAAAAAAACCTGTCTGGTAAAAAGCCTATACCATCGTATTGCCCAGTCCATGTCTAGTATGGGCTCGCCGCCTAGTTTACATAGGCTCATGTACCTAGCCAGTCGAACCATAATTACTGCCTGTAACGTGCCTAGCACAGGTCTGGTACAGACCTACCGATTTTTTTCCATTTTCCACCAAACACTCTCATTTTCGTTTTCCAAACTTATTCTTTCTGAAATCTGGGATAATCCCAAGCAATTGAATGCACATTCTTCAGAAATCATCTCATTTTTCTCTCCAAAAAGAAGGTAGATCCATAAGTTATGGCAGAGCTCATTAAAGTTAGTCATTGACCATTGCCACAAGGGAAAAGGTGTCTTATCATAGTCGATTGACCCGCTGAACATAATCGATGAACAAGTACAGTCAGATGACGAGAGATATCGTCCCTCATATATGTAAGGTCCATAGAAATAATGGTGATGTGAATAACAATGTGTCTACCAATAATAATGACCTGGGTAGAGGGTCTTACACTCCCACCATGCAGACATAAAGAGGTGGAAAGAATGAAAGTCATAGTGTGCATAGATCCACGAGACTTGTTCATGATCGCAGGGATAAGGACAAATGGAAGATAATTGATGTCTACAAAGAGATAAGACAAAGCTTAAATGGTATCAAGTCAGATAGGAGTTCTTTGTCTTCACAACCTTCTCACCAGGATAATTTCATGGCCAATAGTTTTATGGTGATAGTCATTCTTCTCAAACTCGAATATATCATACAATTTACTCCACCAAGACCTACATGGACCTACTTCTTATGGTCATATTTGCCTAAAAACCAATTACACTGGTTGTACCAACTAGTATGTTAGGTTCTAGTATAGGATCAAGAGATATCGCATCATTGAACTCAAAACAGGCTTTCTGCTCGATATCCTTATCACCAGTGTGCAGCTTGGTTTCAAGGGTTAAAACCAGGGGTCTTGGGTGGTAAGCTTACCGCTTGGTATCACCATTCTTTTTTTTTTTTTGACAATTTTGTTCGGTGTCTTTTCTTAATTTGCTATTTTTTTCTCCTTTTTTCTTTTACTTCTCCGAGATTCCTCTCTCTCCCTTTTCTTTTTTAGACACTCCACCTCTTTCATTGTCGTCACTCACTACCTCACCATTGTCTCTCATTTCCTTGTCACTGTCTGCTGCTCACCACCACCACTCGACTGTGTCGTGCTGCTTCTTTCTTTGCCTCATCATTCCCATTAACCATCTCCTCTGCTTTCACTTTTCCTCTTTCGTCTCCTCTTCCGTCTCTTCTCCTCCTTGGCTCCTCTTCTGCATTTTCCTCCCCTATGTCAGTCCTCTTCTCCTTCACACCTATGCTTCTGTATTTTTCTCCTCCTTCAACCGTCATCTTCCTCCTTCCTTTCGTTTTCTGCTTCTCCTCTTTGTCCCTTGTTCTCTCCATCTTTCTATTTAGTCAGTGTAGACTGGCACGCTAGTGTATTGTGTGTTGGTACATCTAAACATACAAGACCAGTACTAGTCTGACCATGACAAACACAAGTCTAAGATTGAATCACTTTCTATCACATCCTGGACAAATTTCAATCAAACAGCATAACCACACTCTGCAAGCCCCATCCCACCTCCAAGGTTGCCCAATATAGCAATCATTACATACAGATGTAAGCTCCACTTTTCTTTTCTTCAATTTATTCAAGGTCAACACAAAAATCTTCTGGGACTCTTCAAGATGTATGAAACAATATTTAAGGTTTTACCCAATACAACAGAAAACATCCAAGTCCTTATGGGCCCTCATAGTGGAACAGAGCCCTGAAATTTCTCCATAATCAAAATTTTAAGCCAACTGTACAACAATAATGTGTACTCCTATCTTTAAATGAAATAGGTGATTCTCAAATACACAATGACAGTAACAAAGGCAAGTAGCAAACCAAATTATAAGACATGAATTCAAATCAGTTAAACACAAAAAAACAAAAACAGGATCAGAAACCCGGCCATCAGCTGTTAGTTCTTTAACCAAACACTAGCATCCATAACAGTTGAAGAAGAAATCATGGATACTTAACTTGAATGAAGAAATGATTGTTATTGCAGCCTCACTGCTTGTTTTTCCCTAATCAGATCGATAATAATTGCAACTAAGCCCATATCTCTGTTCACTACAAGCAAGTCTTAAAACATATAGAACTTTTAAACACTATTCCAGATCAAATTTCCCCATAAAAGACACCAATCTTGCCCACACCAGAGAAACAAACCCATTTATACTAACAAGGTCAAGCACACCGCCACAGGCACAAATAATAACAGAAAACAGCAATAGGACTACAAAAACACACTCCGTAACGACAACAAATCTGCCAAATATATCCAGCGCCAACTATAGAAATCAGCACAAGCAACCTCAGGGAGGAATCCGAAAGCTAGTGAAGCAGAGAGTCATATAAATCACACCGACTATCTGCTAACTCAACCCACTACAAACGTCGAGGCACACGGAGAAATCAAGGAAGAATCGACAAGAAAAGATGAAACCCTACCGCGTCATCGCCGGAGGAGAGTTCGCCATCCTCTCGGCTGGGTGATTTGGAACTAGGGTTCGCGGGTGAGGGCGCGGGCGCGGGGGCGGCGGGTTTAGGGGGCGGGAAGTTGCCGGTCTCCACCATGGCGGTCTCTTGCTCGCTCCTCCTTCCTAATTATTCTGGGAGGCGATCGAAGGAGAGAGAGGGTGTGGTGGTTACGCGATCACCAGCGACCAAGCGAAAGGAAGGAGACGAAGAGCTCTCCGCCGCATTATCAAGACACGCACTCCTTACGTACCTACGAATTTACCTGAGAGCCCTCTCAGTTGCCAGCGATTTGCGAGGTCCCCTACTGATCCCGCACTAATACCCAATTGATGTGACAACGTGGACAACTCGTCCGCCGCCCCCCTTGCGTGGCCAGTGGTACTTAGATAAATATGAAAGAAAACAAAACCTATTTTATGGGCTTCAACGTGAGAGCGCCTAAGCTGTTCGAAATTACACGGGAGCGCTCTAAATATAATAAAATTGCGAAAGAGCCCCTTCGTCTCATCCCGTGCAACAATTTAGTTGACCCTCGTTTTCGGCTTTAAGAGAATAAATTTAAAATTATATCAAATATAAATATATTTATATTTATATTCACATAAAAGATTTCACTATTTTTTATGCTATTTTTTACTTTGTAGTGAAAGTCTGAGATTAAATAGTTAACATCTATATTGTTACACTTGATATAATCGTTTTTATATATACCTAAAATCAAATAAAAATAAAATTGCATATTAACTACTATGATATTGTTTATCCCTTTATTGTGAAAGTCTAAGACAAAATGGGTAATATTTATATTATTAGACTCATAAGTGAATGTTGTTACGCTTATTTTCAAAATCTCATTGAAAATATATCAAATTTAAAATAATTATCTTTATACTCACATAAAATAGAAAAAAAAAATTTATAGACCCACTATTTAAATATTATTGTACCTTTATTTCAAAGTATAAGGAAAAATGAATAATATTCATGTTGTTACGTTCATTTTCAACAAATACTAAAAATGTACCAAATTTAAATGTAAATACCTCTAAATTCACACAAAATTGACCGGTAGATGGAGTGGGCAAAAACCATCGTGCTTGGGAAGGTGCCTATCGAACCGCCCATTGTTGAGCTACACCACCAACTCTGGCGTACGTTGGAGAGGAAAAAGCCCATCTTCTCATGTCAACAAGAAAGTCACCAAACACTGCTCAATGTTGAGCACAGCTCTTCGACGGGAGGTGCTTTTCTTGGGAATCCATTCAAGAAATTTCTCCTCCTCAAAACAAGACAATCCTCAGTCCAGCAGAACCTCGAAGGTTTAGCCAAACACTTCAACACCGCACCAGAGGAAGAAGGATCATCCACAATCGGGGTTTGAGCCGTCTTCTAGCAAGCAACTATTGATGAATGCAGATGCTCACTGTTGATGCAGATTGGTACTGGAAGTTAAGTTAGCTGGTGTTAGAAAACGAAATATTCACCTAAACATGAAAATAACAAAGAAATAAATGTTTGTAAGTTCAGTACTTACCAGAAGATAATTCACATAATAAGTCAGCTTTAAACCACCAAAAAACCTAATCTATCATCTCAAATTGCATAGCCTTTTCCACGTAAAACCAGACATTACTAGTACACAGTACAGTTGTGCTGAATTAGTTGATTGTCTAAGTCTTAAACAATGTCAATGTTGCACAGACACAATAAGACAAGCATTAATTTACCCGGCTCCATCATGTACTCTGTTTAGGAATAAGACAAGCCAAGTAACAGAAATTTTCTGATCAACACATTGTGACATCTCTTCTAGAAATCTTATTACCTTTGTGCGTATCACAATTCCCCTACTGTTCTTCAACCAATCATGGCACAGTGCGATAAATTTAAGGAGACTTGTAAACCACAAATGCATCACTCTTTAACACTTGAGAATGAGCTCCAAGACTGAAAACATCTGGAGCTGATAATTTGGCATCACTACAGCATTTGCAAGCCAGAGAGAGGTATACTTTATATTGATGACAACTACGAATATAAGCTACCGAGCCGACGGCAGAATGTGAAAATGACACGTAGATGAAAGGAAATGAAGAAAGATCAGACTCGTTGATCCACTTGAAGGCTCTGAAGAACATGGCCTGTAGTAAGTCAAATGTACCTGTTAAAGTCATGTAAATGAAAAACCTAAATTAAGGTGCACAGACTGTTATAAGTTGCTACTGTCTATACACCAGGCTAGTAGGGGCTTCACATACACCCACACATGCACATGTTCACATGCACATGCACATGCACATGCACACACAAGCAAAAGCAGGCAGGCAGGCAGGCAAGCAGGCACGTGCACACACAAGCAAAACCAGGCAGGGAGGCAGGCATGCACGTGCACACACAAGCAAAAACAGGCAGGCAGGCATGCACGTGCACACACACATAGGAGCCAACAATCAATTTAGATTGCCAAATGGTGGTGAATTGGTGCAAGGAACCAACCATGTGAATTGGTGCAAGGAACCAACCATGTGTCTGTAAATGCCAATAGTTACAAGGATCACGTAAAATATAGAGGATAATATGATAATAGTTCCTAGCACCTGTGATCTCCACCTATGTTAGATAAAAGGAGCCAACCATCTCATCTCTGATCCATTTCCATTCGACAAGTAGTAAATCTTTTTCCATTTCTCGTCTGAAAAACTATCACGTCGTATGAGGCTTTGCCTGCAGGCAAATGCAACAAATATTCACATTAGGAAATGGTAAGCAATAAACAAGATTTAAGCACTGCACTACAACCGTGAAGTTTGTTAAATTTGGTTGTAGACCATGTTCAAGTTATTAGTCCAACAAAACAGATCCGATCATCACGAAATTCTGACAAGTAAACCAATAATCCTATAAACTTCGTCAAGCTTTTGCAAGGATCAGCATGTTATAAAGCCATAAGTAAATATCAACATGATATGGCAATCAGAAAACTGAAACCAATCTCTGTCAGATTCAAATCGTCTAGTACAAATTTAGATCAGGGAATATCTTAGCCAGTCCAGAATGGGACAAGGAGGACTAATTAATGCTATAAAAATTCCATAAATACAAAAATGAGACTTAAGAAAATACTGAAGACTAGGAGATAATTCAGCATTTGTTTCCATTAGAGTTAATCGAGCACATGAAAGATCAGGGAGAAAAATGAGACATGTTGAGTCAATCATAATATATACTTATTGGAATCACACGTGTTTGAGACTAGAAATGTATGCGGCAGTGGTAGAAGTTGCATATGACAACCTACACAAAATAAAAAAGGCTCAATATAAGAAAAAGGAAGATAACAATGTCAAAGTGCACTTTTGTTAAGACCAAGGAGGTCAGGAACGATCATGGGTTTGATACTATGAGTAGGAACCACACAAAATGAGGAAACAAGTCAATAGATCAAATAAAGACATGACATGATAAAATAAATGGAAAATGAAAGGAAGAAATTACGGAAGCCAAATACAGTACAGTACCATAACATGTTGATGGCTATAAATGGGACAGAAAGAAAGGTAATGAACTCTGCAAAAGCAGAATGGAAGACATGATAAGGTCATCAAGGTGGTCTCAAATATTCAGGATCAGGCTTGCTGATCGTTTTTCTATAATTAGCATGAGTTACACGAACTACTTTTCTGCCATATTTATTTCAAAGCTCTTACTTGTTAAACAGCATGCCTTTTTTAATTTAAAGCTAGATTCTAGGATTTTTAGTTTTAGTAGCAGAATCAAGGAAACCAAAACAAAGATTATCTTCTCATGGCCATAATCCCAAAGCTATTAAATTCACATGATAATTGGGCAAAAAAGTAAAAGAAAAGCAAGATTGCAATAAATCGTCACATATAAGCCACCAATATGTGTAAAGCACTAAAGTGCCCACACCTAATTTGCTGGAAATGTAAAGAGATATTTTTCATTATGATAGCTTTCCGTATCTATTACTATACCTTAGATAATAGTGGCATACAGTAGCAGCCTCATCCAATGTGTAACGTGGCAGCATGAGACGAGCACCTCGAGGTACATCTGGAAGTTCTTCACGTAACTTGCCCACAGCAGTTGAATGAGAGAAGGCTCCTACCATCATGTCGTCATGCATCATTGATCTGTAAGCATTCACCTGTAAAAATGACAAACATAAAAATACAACATTTTAGGCAGTGTTTCACTAACAACTATGGTAAGTAGGGTTTATTAATCCTAATTGGATGGTTTAACATCCCATGTAAAGGTTACAGAAACAATACTTACTGTTGTAACTTCCCTTGCATGAATCTGCCGAGTAGATTGCCATGTCAGAAGTTCATGATACTCGCTGAACGTAAACCAGTTATTATACTGGAAAGCAAAGAAGACGACACATGATTAAGCATCTTTAGAACAGAGATAAATCAAGAATTACTGGTATGGTTCCGATCTTATGGTACCTGGTCAATAGCAAAGAGGACAGGCACATCTTTCACCAGCGATAACTCTTTTCTTAAACGAACAACGACACTCACTGCAGCATGTGTGTAAGTAATCCCAGTTTGAATAAGATCATATAATGTAGAACCTTCAGGCATTGCCATGGAATCAACATTTTTCATCAATCCAACACCAGCACCTTCCCCCAAAAGAATGGGATCAAAAATTTGACAAGGTAATTGCTGTAAGCGATCCTCATTGAACTTCAAAAAATTCTGAAGGAACAACATCCATGGAAGATACAAAGGGATTAGACATTCACATGTATCTAAGAAAAGTACTAAAGATCATATTTTATGTTTTTGTGAGCAATATCAAACAAGGCAAATGCCTGAAATATACCTTTACTTTTACTAGCAGTAAAGAAAAACAAAACAAAAACGCTACTAAAGAACTTATACAAATACAAATAACCACTGGGAAATAAGAATTGCTGTAAAGAAGAGTTCCAATGAAATACTCTAACTCACATCATGTTCTCTGTTAGTGACATCGATACTGATATGAACAATGAATTGAATACCCTTCCTTCACATTCTTTTGTGGAGACCAGATTCTGACTAGATTGATTTCCTAACAAGTGTTCAAGAAACTTATGGAATGTTCACATTTTTCTTCTACTGAATCAGTGATACCAGGTAAGGTTAAACATTCAGTGACAAAACCTTCAAAGTAAAGGTAAAACGAAAAAAGAACTAAAAGTTGAAAAATGAACCAGAATAAGAATAATCCTAAATGTAAATATGGAATAATTGTCCATTACTTTGAAAATTTAAGAATAATGGTTGCACTCAGTTACTATTATAATACATTAATTATAATTTGCAAAAGAAATTGAGCCACTAAATACTGGATCAATCATTCTTCACAAATTGTCATTCAAAATATTTTCAAATTAAGGAACTACAAATCCACATTCAAAATGGGGATACAAGATCACTTAATAACTAATGACATCAACAAACATCATGAAGTTGAAATTCCAAAATTCTGTGGAGATCTAGTTGCTGAAGACACTTTGTACCAGCATAGTTAGAACCTACAGTTCAACATTAGACTTCAATGGAGCATTATTAATCCATCATTGAAGTCCAAACAGTACATGTAGCATTGCTAACATTAAATCCACCAGGCAGTCATTTTAGACAAGGTTCACTTGCAGAAGTTTGATTGTTTAAACTCCCCGAAGAAAGAAGAGACTGTTACTTACAAGGAAATATGAGGATTGGTCTAAACCAGTTGATGATCCTGTAATTGATTTTGAATGAACTAAAATTTCAAAGTTAAGGCCAAATGAAAATGAACTATACTAGATTTAAAAAATACAAATTGTTCATAGCATGAGGGAAATGCCGATACCTTCTCGCATAGCATACAATAGTCTCATGTGCTGACAGGCACAAGCCAAAAATTGGCTTCACCATGTATGGATACAACTAGCATAATTTGCCATGGCATTGCACAATCCAACATGTGTCAACTGGCACAGAAATCTTTCATTGACTGGACTAAAATTATGTAGGCCAAAGGGTTGATAGAAATGTATCGACTTTCAACAACTCTTCAAAGATCAATGTCAAGCTAGCATCTAAGGTAAAGAATATGCTCGATCCCCTAAACATCTACCATAACAGAAATTATTTTATATATTGTTTCTTTATCACGAAATGTTTCTTTTACAATTTCTACAATGTTGAAAAACTAAGAAATAGAAAAACTCACATCCAAGGTTGACTTCTGCATGATTATATATGTATGTTCTTTAATACATGGTATGCAATTTTGAATGGTACCGCCCAGTATGGGCGGTACGTACCGATCCGACGGTGTACCGGTACGTGAACCGTTAATATGCTATAGTGCTACAGTAAAAAAAGAAATATTTAAAATTAGGTGTACCGCTCGGTACACGGTACCGAATCATACCGAGTCAACCTCGAAACACCAGTATGATACGGTATTGCATACCTTGCTTTAATATCTGATGTGACATTGACAAATGCTAGTAAGAATCTATCTGAAAATTTCATGAGCCTTCTCAATATGAACACTGTGTCCAGATGGTTGAAAATTGTTGACACAAAGTATACACAGTATAACATCTAGTTAGAACAACACAAACTTTCTTTTCCATGGAATATCACAACAAAGGTCAAAGCCAGATAATGGAATAATAATATTTTATTAAAGGATAAAAGAAATAATACAAAGAAGATAGGCAATAACTTGGGCAACCTCAAGTGTTACATCATATCATGGGAGCAGCAGAATAATTCTCAGGAAGGGCACCAACATATAAATACAGATGAGATAATGACTAATGACAAACATCTTAATAACTATTAGAACAGCTAGAGGTAACCTCATGCACTAAAAAAATCCTGCAAACATCATTTCTTTATTTGAGCTCCCAAAATTAACTCTATCAGCTATCTTTCAAATTAGAAGAGGATATGCACCTGAAGGATCGTTTCAGCCTGGACAGGCGTATCCCAGAATTCATTGTGAAGGTTTTTGTAAAAGAAGCCTCCATGAGTCCATTCTTTACCTTCTGGAACATAAAATACCAGCCATCCTTCACTACGAGCCCAGTGAACAAGCATGGCAAGTATTATGCTTTTTCCACAGCTAACAGGACCATCCAGGACAATTTGTTTCTTGGAATCTAATGAACAAAAATTTGATGCTATTAAAAGACATGCAATGTTTCATAATTAGATCATTCTTTTTCAATGGGTACAAACTTCCATTTGGAAAGAGCTTTAGCATACAAAGCCAAGAGAATGTATATTTTACTTTATACCAACACATGGATTATAATCTCGACCTGTGCTGATACCAATCGGCTTTGAACCAGAATGTTACTAGCATGAATTAGTCTACCAACACTCAATACGGAAGTCGCACTGGTCAGTATCACCCAGACCAAAGAGAGAAGAGGGGAGGAGATGGTGGCAATGCATACTGGTAGGAGGATGCTACGCAGACAAGGAGGAAGACGTGGCAAGACAGAAAAGGAGGAGAAGAAGAGGAAGCCACAAAGGAAAAGGAGCAAGAGAAGAAAAAAAGGCAGCTGCAAAGGAAAAGGAGGCAACGGTCGTGAAGGAAAAGGAGAGAGGAAGACAACCAATAATATTGATAATTCTTAATGGGTACAACAGATGACATTGAACAGCTTATTAAAAACAGAAAAAAAAACTAGTATTGTTAGTGGACAGTAGGCTTACCGCTTGCTACAATGCTATACAGTCAACTTACTGCCCGATAAATCTGGTACAGTGAGCTTACAAGGCGTTAAGCTCAGCTTTGGATTGGACCTATCAATATTGTCTAGTCTGCTATTGGTTGGCTAACAAATAGGTAAATATCCTTTTGTACTAACACGTATGACTAAAATTAAATCCTCTTACCAACACAACATGGCAATTAGGTCATCAATACAATCACTGCTCCATTGTCATTTCTAGTTCTACACTAGTTCATCTCACCATACTCTCATTTCTTTTCACAAATCTTGTATGGATTCTCTTTACTGCCTAATATTCCGAACCATGCAATTGATTTCAAAATTATACAGCAAGTACAATACATCGAATGAGAAAGTGAGAAACTACAAGTGGAATATTGATGAGAAACTTCTGATATACACTCATAGCTGCAAATATACATATGGTTATATCCTGCAACAATTTTTCTTTGTCTCATTTATAGCTCGTAAGATTAGTATGAAGATCAGGGTCTAGGGGTGATAAGATTGATATCTGTAGGATGAGACAAATTGGATTGGCCACATCAGGATTGACCACGAAAAATAATTAGAAATTATCATAAAATATTCTCTAGATTTATAAAAACAGCAAAATCATTGAAGATTATAAAACAATTAGAAAAATAAACATATATGCTAAAATGTTCTTGATTTATATTGTATGCTCCTTCGTGAAATGATTAACAAGTGTTTAGTTGCAAAAACAACCTCTCTGTGCACAGGGGTTAAAATTATGTATATTAACCTTACCTACCACATATTAGTGGAAGACTCAGGCTGCTTATTATTCCCTTGATTTCATAATTTATCCAATCTTTCAAAAAATAAAATAAACCAAATATACATGATAAAAAAATTATAAGGAAAATTATTTCCTTAGGTCACAACAATAACATATATTAGAAAATTAAAAGTTATCATATCATACAAAGATATGAATATAAATACAACAACAAAACCATAATATCCCACCTATTTAAGGTTGGCTGCATGAATCTTTTGCCGAATTACATCCTTAATCAAAATAAAAATATTTAAATCTTTGTTTATACTTTCTAGTAAAAGTACTGCCGCTATGACTTCCTTGCCCTCCTCTTCTTTATGCTCCTCCTCCCTCTAGTAACGACCAGATGAAATAAGCAGACAGAAAGGAACCAGCCTGAATCACCTAATTTCAACAAGTTAATCTAATGATTTAGCCTAGAAATCAACCAATACATGGGTTGGCCCAAGTTGGTCCCAATCCTAAAATAGGAGATCAGATCTGTATGAACCATTCTGGTAAACCTCGCTTACAATGCTCACCTCAAAAGAATTGAGTATGCTCAGCTACTTACTTTGAATATATATGAGAGTTAACTATAAATGTTAGGTCAAGGTATTTTGCAAATATTCTATTGTCCTAGGTACACTCTAGAATCTTTTGTGAATCCCATCTTTGTAAAAAAGAAACAAAAAATCCCCAAATAGTTGTATCTCATATGCTAAAAAATATTGTGCCAACTATAGAGAAGAAACAAAAAAAGTTTATTGCAAAACTATCCAGTCTCCTTCATATCATTTTCTTAAATCGTACTTTTAAGGAGGACCAAGTTTTTTTTTTTTTTGTCAAAATGAGATGTAAATCTATAGAACTATGATTTCACACTGCACACTTTGTTGCCGCTAGCTTATAAGCGGACGTCTGCAAACAATGGCATATTGCGGGCGTGGCGAAAGCTTACTTTTAGTGCCCGTGTGGATAGGAGGGTCAACAATGCGCCTAAAGTTATCACGCAGATCCAGGAAACTCTGCCTCACCATCACAGCGCACCGCCTTGTCTCCTCAAACTCCTTTTTCATCCCTGCTGGCAAGCCCTCAGGCAACATTGCATTCCATTCCTCCAAGCTATCAAATCATCCACAACAATCGCAACAACACAAAAGGGACGCAATAAATAAAGTCGTCATTCTCAGCTCAAAAAGAAGCCGCATTCAGTCAAACAATCAGCACCTGAAATCAACATAGGAACATGCTTCCTTTCGGGAGAGCGGGGCTAAGGACTTGGTAAGAGCGAAGAGCGGGCGGCCGCCGGGGCCGACGTCGAGGGCCGGATCATAGGTGGGAGGGAGGGGGTCCGTTGGGCGCTCGAACTCGATGTCGATGCCATCGAAGGCGTGGGAGGCGTCGTCGACACTGGCAGCGGACTCATCGGCAGACACAGAGCGAGAGTTCTTGCCCTTCGTGGTGGTCTTGGTCTTGGCCTTTGTCTTGGTCTTGGCCTTGGTCTTGGCCTTGGTCTTGGCCTTAGCGTAGGCGCGGGAGGATGCGGGGGGGAAGAGTAGATCAGAGAAGAGGGAGGAGCCTCTTCCCCCGGCGGCGGCGGCGGCGGAGGAAGAGCGGAGGACGGATCGCAACATTTTGGGCCACTCGGGAAGATGAAGGGTTTTTGTGTCGAGGCCTCACTTGAACCGATTATATATAACGTAACGGTATCTTCCGCAAACCGTTATGTATACCGTTATAATTGCTGCAGTTATTTCTGGTGTGCTGTGCTTATAGCATGGCTATCACAACGAAACCAGCGAGTAATGCACTCGAGATTACCTTCATGAGAGGTGAGATAGATCTAATAGCTTTACCACATGATGTTTGCTATAGATGATTGCAAAATAATGTTATGTGCATCAAATTCCAGCAAAGTATATTTTAATTATGTTATGTGCATCAACCATTTTTCTCATACATATTTAGAGTTATGTATTGCTACCCATGTGAACTATTGTCGCCACCACAGTCTAGATCAATTAATAAAGTTTGATAAAATGACAGAGAAAAAAATTTACAGGAAGCCTAACAAAACTATCGTGTAGTTTAGGAATATTTTGTTTAATTAGGACTAATTACAAATTATCCTCTTGCACTTAGATCTCTTTAGTATTCAGTTTCTAGACTTTAAAAATTTATATTGAAATATCTGTAATTATGAAAGTGAAACATCTAACTTCATTTATCTTAACACCGTCGGTTTTATCGATGAAAATATGAAGATAATGGGTAAAAAGATAATTTCAATATCTCAATTATATTTTGATTGTTGTGGCTGAGGAGTGCGTGTGATGTATGCGTATGCACTTCTTTTGTGATGAGTGCCAACTTTTGTAGTTAATGTTAGGGGTATCAATAGTTCTTTTGCTAAAAATAATGCTGAATTTTTTGTTTCAATTTGGTATTGCATCGACTTAAATCATACTCATGCATGTACCCTAACATTTCACTGTAGGTCCTTGAGAAATTAATTCAAGATAATTGTTGGAAGTTTCTAGTGTCATTTTGATGATAGTGTATTGGATGGACTTGTATCATCCTCATGCATGTACTCTTGTCAGTTCACTTTAGGTCCCTGAGAAATTAACTCAAGATAGTTGTTACAAGTGTCTAGTGTCATGTTGATGATGATGTAATGCATGGACTTATATCATATTCATGCATGTATCCCGTGAGAAATTAATTCAAGATATTTGTTGGAACTTTGGGTGTCATTCTAATGATGATGATGTATTGCCTGAAACATACAAATTGTGACCATATAAACTGGGTGATTGATATCTGAGATTTTGCAGTAAAGTGAATTTAAATATAAGATAAAATACTATGCCATATGATCAAATTTTTTCGACGCTCAGAGAAGTCCGTGAGTTATGGCAATGTAAGGGTGCACGCTGAAGGAAAGACCTGAAAAGAAAAATAGTTGAACATTACATAACACAATTATCACATAACAACGAAAACAAAGTAATGAGATTAACTTAATTATAAGTTAAGTTAATTACTTGTGAACACGTTTGTAATGCACAATACATTCCGCAAATAATTACAAGAAGAATTTTGTATTACAGAAAATTTTGCTACTTCCTTTGTGATATATATTTGTTTTGTTGCACAAGTTTTCTGCTTATTGACTTTTTTTTGTTATTTATAATTGTAGAAAATTTATTGATTTTCGATGTCATGCTTGTCAATTTAATATAAATTATATTTAAATATTGAGATTCTTCCCATATACTTTTCATTAATATATATAAAGTACTCAAATTAGGCAAAGCACAAAAAAGTTACTCGACCGGAGAGGGATATATATGCAATTTTGTAAAACAAAGAAGCTTGATTTGAAAACGGAAGCGGAAGAAGGTGCCGACACCCGCCGTGCAATGGTCCCCGTCGAGCTCGTCGTGTAAGTCTCACATCTTGCGAAGTAAAACCCTCCAAATTCTTCCCCGATGAGATCCGAAGAGGAATCCCCGCACCCCATCAGCGAGATCTCGATCGAAGGGAGAGGGATTCCGGGGGATAAGGTAGATAAATCGGAGGCCGAGAAGGTTGAGGCCCTGGCATCTGCCTTCGATCCCGAGTTCTTGAGCTGCCTTCTCCAGCCTTTGGTCGACCATCACGACCCTAACTACGTTGGGATCCGTCGCCTCCTCCTCCACCGCAAAGCCGTTTCCTCGCCCGTCCTCGATCGCCGCCAGGTACCGCTTTCCTTCATCCGAAGGTCTTTAGCTGATTCTTAGGAGTGGATTGTGATGGAATGTGTAATTCGAAATTTAAGGAGTGGAGATGCAATGGGAGAGGGTATGTGGCGTATCGCAACTTCATTCGGAGACCGAGGAATTGGGAGAGCATGGCCGTTGCCAGCCAATCGAGTAGCCCTGGCAACAGGTTATCATACATTCACGTACCATTTTACGAACAAAATTGAAAATTTGTGTTTGGGTTCTATATGTGTAGAAAGAGGTAGGCCAATTTAAAGCATCAAGCTCTTTTTGCCGATAGCATAACTGCTGATGTTTTATATGCGCATATGAGGTCAGGTATTTATTTACTAACCGTAGGTGAAAGAAGAAAATACTCAATTATGTGGAAGAAATTTAAAGTAGGAGTTATTTGTAGCTATTGTTTGATTTTGGAGTAGCATAAGCTTGGAGTCAAATGTATGAAGAATGTAATTTCTTGACGACACAAGTTTAAGAGGAGTTAATTCTTTTTTATCATCAGAAAAAAGAAAAAACAGGTGGAAGTAACATTTCATGACCTGCAGTATGTCTTTTGTTTTCTTTTTTCTATCTGATTAAGTTCTTTAATGTTGAACTGTCAGGTCACAATGACTCTATAATAATAAATCTAGTAAATGCCATTACCTGTTTGATAAGCAAATGCCATATTTTTTTAGATCAGGAAAATGGATTTCATATACTTTCTTAGTATCCATTGTATTGAGTTGATTAACGAACAGACAGATCTGAAGGGTTGCTTTCCATGTGAGAGGAAACCGGTCCTTTTATAGCTTCGTTTTCCTATGTTTAAAACCATGAATCTTTTGTTTTTCTGTATCAGTTTCTCTTAGTGAATATGACTGTACCTAGCTGCTGCTGCTAACAACTTAACAAAATATGACATGATCTCAGAAAAAATAAAGAATTTAGATTAGCAGGACCATTTCACAAGAATTTGCTTTCCAAATATACTGAAAAACCTCTGCAAACAATTAATGGTGTCACAAACTTATCGGTACAATCACATCATATGCTTATTTGCTATTGGAAAGTGTTGAGATTTAAAGAGCAAATCATTATGTGATGAATATAATTTATGGTTTAACTTTATAGATTTTCTTCTGCTAAGGTCCCTTTTATAGAAGAATAGTCACATGCTAAGTCAACAGTTGCCTGCATGATAAGGAACCTCATTTTCTTGATTAAGTTAGGCATGTGAACCCCAGATTCTTCTTTTCTTTTTTTCCATTAATGGTCTTCCTGTTTCCCTTCAATTTAATTTCTTGCCTCGTGACAATTAGCCTTTGTAACTTAGTTTTCTTTTTCTTCTTCCATACTGATCTGATGTTGAAACTGATATTGATCTGCCAGTGGGCGCTGGGCTCCATCTCCAGGTCCGCAGTCTATACTGTATGAGGCTGACAGCTGGAGTTCTAGCAGGGTATGCACGGAGCATTCTGTTTTATTTATAAGTTTAGTTTTATCTTTGATTATGTTGGTTTCCTTCATGGGGTTACTTAAGATTATATGTACTCATCCATTTTGTAATATTTTCTGTGGCTTATATGTTCTTTTTTTAATCATTTACGTAAACCTGTGGATGTGGAACTTATATGCTGAAGGACCTTAGATGTTCCAACCAATCTTTTGGTCACCGTGCTAGTTTTAGCTCAAATACAAGTGATCTTGATCGACAAATCCGATATGTTGAGCCTGCTTATTCATTTGTTGGAATGCATTGCATCTTTGACAACTGTAAAGCTTCAGGTAATTTTAAGCCTAAAAGAGGGTATCTTTTCGTCTTTGCTGCGACATCTGAAGCCAACCATCTGATACTGATTAAAATTTTCAATGACTAGTTACAATTGTAAAATTTGGGCACATGAGTTCCGATCTACTTGCATATGGTGCATCAGATGGAAGCTTAACAATTTGTCATGTTTCTGAGCCACCTTCTGTGTTTCAGCAGTTAAGGGGTCATTCAAAAGCAATTACAGGTTAGTTGACTGAACATCATCTAATTTCAAATACTTTATTCTGTATTACTTTAGTTTGCTTTGTTTACCCAACATGTTTAGGTGCTTAAAATTGTTGTTGCTACTTTTGTTCTTTTATGTCATATAAAAGGTTCCAATGGTCCATAACAATGCATCAGAACGCCATCTCAGTATATCTACTTGGAATGTGAACCGAGGATAAATAGAGAAATATGAAGTCATTCCTAAGTTGTTAAGTAAATGTATCATCCAAACCAAAAAAATTATATAAGTTAGGTTTATACTAATTTAAGAACTTATTGAGGTGATGAGTTATAATAAACGAGCAAAAACATTTAAGTGCTGAATATTATGTTATCATGGACCACCAGTTATAGTACAAGACTATCATAATTGTTGAAAACATGATGATGGAAAATATGCCACATGTGATAAAAAAATTAATGTTTATGTGGACCACACATACCCAATAGATTTTGCATAAAATAATATAACTGCTGTGTTTACTGAGGCTGCATACCTTATATGGGAGGGTCATATGATGGTAGATCTTGAAGATCTGAATTTTTCCTATTTCTAGAAAGCACGTTCTTTTCCTTGACTCATTTTGTCTTTGATATGCTATTTTATGTATTAGATCTTGAAGAGACCTTATCATATTTACTTCTTTCATGCGCCTTTTTGGATCAAACTTGAATTTCCTTTTCATAATACATATGTTGGTAGCTCAAGCACCTTATGTGCTATGTTTATTTAGGTCATGCCAATGTATGTGCCTCGCATTTAATGTATGGAACAATTATTATCATGTAGAGTAGAAGAGACAACTATAATAAAAATAGGAAGCAAATACTTTTTTAATAGATTGTCATTGTTATGATTTTCTGCTGGCCAAAGCCCTAACTCAAATGTTTATGTATGATATAATCCGTAACATTGTTTTAAATTATCAAGGTTGCCTGCCTAGTCCTTGTGTTTTCTGAATGTGAATATAATTTTTGTTAAAATTTTTAAACTTGATTAATGTTTTAAAGTAGTATTACATACTTTTCAAAAATATTTTCTGTTTAAATTGAAGTTCTTGTCATGAGATGAAGCCCTAGAGTTTCCTGATGGTATTCTGTAGCATGATCTAAATTAACCATCTTGAAGATAAAAGTGGAATGGATGGATGGGGAATTGTTACAATTCTGTTCCCTTCCAACTCGAGCCAAATCTGTTTTAGAGTTCTGTGTTTATTTTAGGGTAGAACTATCTTGGTTGGCCCTTCTTGGGGATAAAACAACCTTTGTAAGGACCTGTATGATTCCTGAGAAACCCAAGACAACTGGATATGACTGCAACTTGGATTTGGACAATTTTGTGATGATCTTTGAAAAGCTAATGTGGTGTTTTTCCATGACCAAAGGGATCTTATAGCTGATAGGAAGAGAGGAAACTATTAGGTTATATATAATCATATATCATTCTTTTAGTTTTGGTGATCTTCAAATTATCTTTTGTAATTACTTCTGTTTTCTGTTAGAAAGTTTGCAAGCTCTGTTATAAGTTATTTAGTCTAGGAGTCATAATATTACTAAGACAAATTGTTTAGCAAATAGGACACATATTTGAAAAATTCTTGAAATCTCTCCATGAAACGTTAAAGGACAAGATTTACATAAGACTCTTTAGCTGTATATATGAGATGATGTAATCCTATGCTTGGATTATTATTTGGATTTTATTAAGTAATGATAGTTTAGTTAGAGTAATAATCTTCTCTTCTTCCCTCTTGTTGGCTCTTGGTACACTTCTACTTCTCAAATTGACATAGCACTTGTTACATTTGTAACTTCTAATATCATCTTTAGCTTTCTTTGTGCTTCTCTCTGTTCAACAAGTATAGTGCTGTCTTGCCTGGAAATGTTCACTTAAGTTGCAACTTTGTGTAAATGAAGTTAGATGCTCATCCCATATTCTTTCACATCCATTTTAGCTTTACTTTTTTTAAAATTCTAACTACATTACAGATTTTGATTTTTCATCTAACAATCAGTACATTGCTTCGTCCTCAATGGATAAAACTGTCCGAGTCTGGGAAATATCTAAAGGGCATTGCATTCGAGTAATATATGGAGTTTCTTCTCAATTATGCATTCGATTCCATCCGGTGCGTTCACTTTTGTCTTTTCATCTTTTATTTTGTTACTTCAGAAAGCATCTGATTTTTGCTAAGTCTTTGCCTTGCTTTTGTTATTAAAAGGATCTAAAAATCAATAAATAAATCAAGAGTCTGTACTATTTTCAATTCTCATAACTGGCTGTGATCATTTTAAATCAAGGAACATAACATTGTACACCTAATGATTCAGGAGATTTGTTGTGCTTGGATTGATTTATTTATTTGTTACAAAGGGTAAGGCATATGAAAAATTAGTCTCAGATTGCAAAGACATCCAGCAATGCTAGTTAGACAATTCAAGAAACTTTACTTTAAATTTTTGCATGAACTATTTAGAGCAAGCAGATGAGAATTCCTCGACATGCCAGCAAAGTTTGCTGTTGTAGAATCTCAGTTTGAAGCCTTTTGTAGCAATGCCAAGTCAGTTACAGTCAGCTTTCAATATGGTACATGTTAGTAAACTCTCTGTGTTGGTCTCATGCTGAGATGGTTGTGCCTATGACATTAAATCGGAACCAAGAACAAAGAGAGATACATGAATTGGCTTGTGATATTGCCTATATAGTTATTCATCCCATTTGTTGTATGGCTGTGCCTTGTGCAGACTACTTTTCAAATATTGAAAATGATCATTTAAATATTTTTTTGTCAATTTTTAAACATCTAAGTAGCTGAATTTTTAAAATCACTAGATAGATGGAGATCAGATGAGTTTTTCTATCAGGAAGAGAGAGAGAGAGCGAGAGAGAGAGAGAGAGAGAGAGAGAGAGAGAGAGAGAGAGAGTGCATGTTGATGGGGCTTGTACATTGGTTGGGATACTTACGAGGGATAAAGAACGAGAAAGGGTGAGAAGAAAGGAGAGTGATATTTGGTGGTTATAGAGATAGAAAAGAAATTTTTAAAATCTCAAATCTTCCAACTATCTAGATTCTATTGGTATTTTCTTAAGATTTTCATAACCCTACGTGGCTACTACTTCTTCAAACCTTCTCTCAGCTCTGGCTTTACTTGTATCAAAATTGTCTAAATGCATTTTGTTCCAAGACATTAGTTTAGTACCATCTTCTTTGTAATAAATATTAATTTGTCTTCGATGTATAAGAATAATTGCAATGTCATTTGTTCCCTAATTGTCAGGAAGAACATGTCTTGTAAACCAAAAATTTAATGTTTTGGTCATAAGTATCAATGCTGTCCTCATCTATCATAATCCTTGTAATTGTTCTTTGCTTGGTAATTGCAGGTAAATAACAACTTGCTTTCAGTTGGAAATGCAAACAAAGAAATCAGTGTAAAGATTCCATCCCTACATATATTTCTTGCTTCATAAATTTTGATATGTTGTGGAATTTGGTTTCTGAGGATCAGTTTGTCTAGAAATTTAGGGATTTTCTAAAAGCAAGAAATGTTCTAGGGGCTTTCTCTTTTGAGATTCTGTAGAAAAGGCTGTTTTGACTCATTGTTTTACCAATTCTTGAATGAATCAGGAAATCAATTTTAGCACTGGGCGTGTTATTAATAAACTTCTATTCGAAAATGAGATAACAGCTATGGACAATGATCATACTGGTCAGCATATTTTTGCTGGCGATGCACAGGTTTTTTTTTATGCATATGATGTACATCCTTAATTTGCTTGAAATATAATCTGATATCCAAAATATCTTATTTGAATGAAATCCAGGGATGCATATACACTGTTAAGGTGAATTCTCATACAGGGTCAATATCCAGATCACATAGGAATCGAAGTATCAGGACTAAATCTCCAATCACAACAATACAGTATCGTACATTCTCTTTGGTCGCACGGGGTCCTGTTCTTCTTGCATGTGCTCTAGATGGAAATATTTGTTTCTTCAGGTTACTTGCTCTTACTTTCACTGCCTTCTCATGTGTTAATCACTTGAACTAATCTTTAGTTCAATTAATCTGATATGCTGTAGCATGCAGTGTTGCTCTGGAGGTCCAGGGGTACTTGACTCTCGTCTGCTCCCTCAAGTTAGCTCCAAGGGTGCATAATATTCAAGCTTCTTTCTGCCCTCTTCTTTCCCTTGAAAAAGGGGAGTTTGTAGGTATATTCATTCCTGATCGGCAATGTCTTCCGAAATCTGAAATTTCAATATCATTAGTGGACTTGACATACATTTAAGGTCCTAAGGTTTCACTTAATAAAAATGCTTCTATTTACTGTTCCATTGGTTGTCTGCATGGTTTTTGTTTATTACCAACTGGAATCTGGTCTAAAACTTTTGAAGAAAACTTTTGAAGAAAGAGACTCCATTATTCTTTTCCTCTATGATTTAAATAACTGATTACTTGTAGCCCATAAGTTGGTTATTAAGATAATTAATTAAGTAGTTGGTTATTAAGTAGTTACACATCATCTATTATATCCATTAGGATTATGATCAGACATCATCATGAAAAGAAAATCTAGACATCATCAGGCTTTTGAGAGTAATTAGTAAACTGTTTTATCAGATAGCAGCTAGACTATCGGTCAGGTTGGGTTCAAGAACAATTTACTTACATTGAAACCAGAAAATTTTAAATTCTCAAGAGGGTTATATGTTTCATACCATCTTCTTGTACTGCAAATTTTTTTTATTTTTAATGACCTGGAAAATCTTGATAAGCCACTACATTTGCTCAAGATGATGCTTTGTGCTCAGAATTGGTGATTAAGTAGGCTAATGAGTCTCATTTTATAATTGATACGATACTCCCTAAGCTATTCTCTTGACAGTGTCTTAGATTATCATCTTTCTGCAAGTTGGAGACAGGGGAATGCAATTGCACAGGTCCATGCATTCCCAAGCTCTACATAGCTGAAGTGTACTCTATTTAGCATGCTAGCTAGACCTGATAGTGACTTACCCTTCTTTTGCAATAAAATTAAACTAATGGAGCATGCACTAGTTTGTGGACGTGTTCCTATTTCCCTTCTCATCATTTGTTTGATCACAACGGGCTAATGATTAAATGATTTGCTCATATGAAGTTTCTGGAAGTGAGGACTCGAATGTTTACTTCTATGATCTGACTCGGCCGAAACACACATGCGTAAACAAGCTTCAGGTGTGGTTTTATGGACCTCTGTTATCCATTATGTACCTTTCACGTGCCTCAAGATTTATGCTTTCCCGTTGCTTCAGGGCCATGGCTGTGCTGTTATAGGAGTCACTTGGAATCATGGAGAAAACTTGTTGGCCTCATCTGATTCAGATGGAACAGTGATTGTTTGGAAGCGGGCACAAACCAGTTAGCATCTGATTGTCACAGAATCCTATTGATCTATACACCGAAAGATGACATTCCAATCATAACAAGAGTATAGTTATTATATGCAATCATTCATTTTAATCTGCATAAATATGATAAAGAATTTGGGTCTATTTCTTCCAGAAGGCTGCCTAAGCTCAAATGCACAAAGTAATACATCCGAGCATAGAGGGTACATTGTTGTGTAATTTTACATTCTTCATTCTTGCAACTAATATCGCAGCCAGGTTCTTTTTACACATTTGGTACCTTGACAGTCTCTCTTAAGACATCAGATAGGATCATTTGGGCTGTTCTCTTTTTCTTGCCTTTGTTTTTATACTCGAGTTTTGGAAGATACAAGTTTGCAGCACTTTGTAAGGCAAGAGATCTTTTACATAAGTCCGGCCACATTTTACAAAGCATCACTGGGACAGTCTTTTAAATATCTCAATGGTCTAACTGGCTCTGGGACCTAGTATGTTTCAATCATGACTTATGCCGATATCTAGTGAACTCAAACAACTGAAGAGTGTCTTCAATTTTTTTTGTCATTCATGGTTATGTTTTCCTCTAAGATGTTGATCCTCTGTGTGGCCTGCTCTCCCTCCGGATTTGAAGGTGCCCGTTTTTCCTATTTGTTGTACTATAAATTGTTTCTCATTATTTTTTTGCTTTCCCTTTAAACACAAGATTATTCATGATGTATTCACAATAAGAACATGACTTCACCAGCAGTGTCATTCCTTGAAATCATTTCTTGAACAAGATTTCCAGGTTGTTACTGGTTTTTGATGGACTATTCCAAATTCAATCCAAATATAATAGATTTACTGCTTTCACATCTGCTGTTTGATTAACATGGTTGAGTTGGTTTGATCATTTCTACCGTGAATCTAAGAAAAGTAGTAGAGATGATTTGTTTGATTTCTGAAGACCATGAAGTATTTTCTATCAAGATATAAAATGTGTTCTACTTGGTCTAACAACACAAACTTGGGAGATGAGATTTATGAGTCATGCATCCTTGTCCTCGACTTGGTTTGCCCGACAAAATTTTCTTTTGTTGATTTTAAAAAACCCATCTTTTTTTCCCTAATTTTTTTCCAAAGAAAAGCAACAACTCGGCTCATGTGCTGCCCTTTTGACATGTATGGATATAAACCATTTGTAGTGAAACTTAGGTAACCAGTTGAAGATAAACTTGTTTTGTGCATCGGTTCACATAGTGTGGTTAATGAACGATTTCCAACTGGAGGTGAAGGATGTAAATAAACCATGGGATGAAGGAGCTTATACATGAATCAATAAAAATAATATCGCAAGAGGTGATCTCATAAAGCCTACAGAAATAAGAGTATCAAATTGTCCTTGATGTCATACTCGATGTCTGAGAATGCCCACAATACCAAAGGCTAAAAGGCACTTTGGCACGTAGAAAGATGCCATTCTAAAGGAAGAGAAAAGGTTGAAGATGAAGCTTCTCTTTTCTTTAGGGCAATGTATCCGACAACATTCATTCAAGCAGATAAGAAGTCAATCGTGCAGCTGGAAAGAAGTCTAAAAGTTGCCGTCTCACACTGTAATGAGACACATTCCTTTTTTTTCATATACTCAAACTGCAAAGAATATTTTTTTCCTGTCACACACAACAATATTTTCTCAATCACAATCGATGACTTGATACCGACTCATGAGAATGAGATTCTTGAAAAGTTTCAAATTCTTTTCCTTGATAACCAGAGGTAGGACTAACCTACAAGACATGTAAAAACTGAGAACTAAGGGTAACATGGACAGGCACATATTATCTTCAATTTATGACCAACATTCACCACAAAGCATTTTGAACATTATACCTGGATACATTATCATGTGGATGGAGATAATTGGATTACAGCAGTCTGACGATGTACATTATGCGATTACAACTGGATAAGCTTCTTGAAGCAATATGTACCAATGAGGAACCAACCAATTAGAGCAACTGCGAAAGCTACAACACCCAAAAGAAATTTTGACCCACCCAGGAAAAGCCCAATGCAGTAAACAATTAAGAACGGTAAATAAGTTTTCACAACCGATCTTCTGTTCACCCAAGTACCCTTCAGGAAAATCATAGCTGCTATGTTCACCACATTCCATCTTTCATGAGCATGGTAAAACAATCTGTTCAGATTATTTGCGACGAAAGAGTGACAGTTGCAGGTAAATAGACTGTAAGATCTGTGCTGAAACTCTTGCGTGCCTTTCCGGAGTGCATCATCCCAAGTCATCCCCTCGGTCAGCTTACGACACTGCTAGGTGGGATATGAAGTTCAGAATACTTAACTGTTGACTAGTGATTCTTAGTAATTAGAAAACTCATGCGTGGGAAAGAGAGAGAGAGAGAGCATACCTCTTCTCTGTTTAGTTTTACATAACGTGCCACCGCCCCAAAAGCAAAGTGGTCAACACAGACAAAGTTTGGCCCAGCAAAGTCCAGGATCACTCCATCCTCTCTGCAGATGCCTATGTGGCCAATGAAAGGTATCAGCCAAGAGATGACAGGAAGAGGTGTCCAAACTATGCAACATGGAAATCGAGCTCTTTCTGGATCTATTGGCCCAAGGTCAGAGTTCCTGTTCAGCATCTGTTTGTCTTCGGAGGCTAAGTCTGATTCCATCATCTTACCTCCTTAACTATCTGAAAGATTTGGGTACTGCAACAGAATATGGCATGATTACTACTATTGGAGAACTTATTGTTTTACTAAATAAGGACAGAACATAACAAGATAAACTTTGACATGTCACAGAAGAAAAACAGTATGCAAAAATTCTAGCAGATGTACTAAAAGCAGTTAGAATCATGATTCACCATCCTTGAGAAATCAATAGTAAACATGGTTAGGACATACCAAAATAAGAACATGTATACAGCAACGTATCATGAAATTTTTTACAGCCAGAAGTGCAAACTTATCAGAATATGCAAAAAATGTAGAGAAACTCCATTTGCTAGGATCCAAAACCAATATAGTGAATCTAATGAATTTATTGGAAAAAATATTGACTTCAAAAAATTTAATGGCAGACTAGAAAAATTCATTTATTAGTTTGCATGCTTGAAAGTAGGTGGATCATTAGAATTGCGAATGTAGTACTTATTTGCATTGAACAGTTTTCCTTCTATGTTTGCATCAGTTAATATATTTTCTCTGTTTTTCCTTTGACAAAATCCTTTAAAAATCTATCATTTCTATTTTATGGGAACTTTTCCTACTGCCTACCTTGACTTGAACTTGGTTTACAATCGCTGGCCAACTTTCACTTAGCTTTCAGCCCCCAGCAATTTTACAGCCAAAACACCCATTTCATACACCCATATCAATAATTGTGTTTCCATCTACCGATATCTTCATGGCATACAGACATATTAGGTACATAAGATTTATTTATCTTAAGTAGCCCAATAAAACCAAGGATGAAAATTAAATGATTTAAAGCTTACAGTCGGAATGAAAATTCTGGGTGTATTTTTGTAACAAACCAGACAAGCGCTGAGCTATTCATAAACTACCATCCATTTTATTAGGTAACTTAGAGAACTGAAAAAGGAGATTTAGTGAGAAATGCTCATCTTTAATAATTCCTCATCGGTCACTGTTGTAGAACTACCAATTTTTGTCAGACCAAAGGAGGTGACAGAGCAAGACTCATTTCATTTTTTGTCAGTCATCTTTAGTTTCCACCTTCCCAAGTTTGTTACCTCTTTTCAAAGCAAGATATAATTGTCAATTACTAGAAAAAAAAAGGCATATAGGACCCGGTATGACTACTTAGACACTCCACATATGATCTACAATGGAAATTATATATAACAAAGTTAAAGAATCATATTCAATTACATTGACTTGAGAGGGGGAGAATCAAAGAGAGTGGAAGAAATATGAATAGAATTGAAACATAAAATAGACATGTTCACAACACAGAGATGATGTGGGGGTGCATGCAATTGATTTGGTTAACTAACATATAATCCAGCCAATTACAATAAAATCCATCCACATCTAACCACTAACCAAGTTTTGGACCTTTCTTAGAGAATATGCCATGAACAGGAGCTGCAATTGACGGATGTGGACCTTCATATTGTAATTTACATTCATGGAAGATTCATAACACAGCCTTCATGGCCTATTCGTTGCGGATGCGGATGTGGACCTTTCTTAGAGAAAGGACCTTCATGGCATATTCATAACAGCCAACCACTAAGTCTGTTATGAATCGATTTAAATTAGAAATTAAACCCCATAGGTCAAATAAAAAAAATTCCTTCATATTCAAGTTCACAAAGCTTTCATGGAAGTCTTTCAGAGATGCATTGCGGATGTGGAGTCTTGTTGAGACATTCAATTGCAATGGAAATCTAATTCCTCCAACTCACCCATGTGTTTTAAGCCAAAGCAATGTCCTTCTCTTGATGACTAGAAGTCATGGATTAAAATTTCATAGGTCAAATCAAGATTCCCTTCAGATTAACTTTCAATAGTTACACAGTTTTCCTCGAAGTCTTTGCGAGATGCAATACAGATGATAAGTCTTTTTGAGACAACCCTAATTCCTTTGACAAAGGCAGAATCTTTTAAGTTGAAGAGGACATTTTAAGTGACATCTGATGAAATATGACAAAAAGATGCATGAACTTCTATTCAACATCACCAAGAATGGATTGATATCAAATGTGACATGACAGCATGCATGTTGCCTTAGTTGACACTCACAATATTCTTGAAACTTCATCACGGATCTTGGTATATTGGTTCTTAACTATTTTTGCGTAGATCACACTCAGGCAGCAACAGTGCCACAAAGAATTACAGGGTGCCCTATCTATGACCCTACTCTTAGGCTCTTATGCTGCTTGGCTTTGTCATAAAGTTGCTTTATTTCCTATAACTGATATCCACTGCTTCAGAAGCAGAAGCTTGGATCGGTATCTCCCGACAGCTTCCTGTGTAGTAGAACAAGAACTTGTATTTCAAAGTAAAATGGATGCCTAATTGCCTATAGTCAACAACATAACTGGTCAAGAAAGTTGCAGGATATCAGGTGTTAAACCAGTACAACGACAACAATTGAATGTTCATGTAAGGTCAGTGATTTTTGTTTTAATTCCACTATAAAAAATCTAATTTGCAGGAAAACTCTGACATAGTGAAACCTCACGTAGAAGATCTACCTTCTGTAACCTCAACTTTTTAACAGATCTATCAATTGTGAAGGTAAAAAACAAAAAATATATAGTCATCAAAAAAGGAACTTACTTTTCAGGAACTTGAAACCGATCATATCACCATAACAAAAGATCTTAGTTCTTTATCCACAGGAAGCAAGCGATCTAAGAAAAGAATCGAAATCTCGGAGGGACAGATGGGTTCCGATACGTACCCAAAGACCCGGAGAGCGGCGAGAGATTTAGGTTTTGACTGGAGAGGCAGCAACTCTGGATCTGCTTCCCCTTCCTCGGCCGACGAATCGTCGGCAGTTGGGGAAACGGCGAAACGAGATGTCCGAGTTGTGGCAGCAATTGCAATTAGTAATCGGTTCGGTCCGGTTCGGCGTGGTTCGATCCGACCCGTACGGTTCGCATTGGACCGCATCTGACAATAATATAATTTGAATAATAATGAAATATCGTAAGGAAATCAATCATCAATTTGATAAAGAAAATAATACATTATAAATGCAAACTTATATAAGAAATTAGGAATGAAAAACTACAGCTGATCATTTACCGTAAACCATAGGTGCACAAAAAAGTTAAAACGAATAATTTCTCCTTTTTTTATCATTTAAAAATATTTAAAATATTAGATCTGAATCTTTTAATATATATTATACATTCTTCACGACTCATGCGATAACTAACTTATCGATTTTATTTAATCTTAATTATTAATTAAATATTTAAATTAAAATTAATAATAATATGTTAGGATTAATCGGGATGTTTTTATCCATAAATAATTATTTTAAATCCTATGATCAAATACTAGGTTGGTTTCGATACCAAATGTCATAACCCGAAATATATAAATACCGATCTATCAACTTCTTCTAAATTAATAGCGATCAAAATATACTCATCAAATTATAATTTCTAAGATCATATACGGAAATATGAGAATCGATACTCGGAATCCATCGGTTGTCTCTGTCTCTCTCTGGCGTCGACAAAAGCATCATCTTCCGTCACTCACGAGAGAGAACTTTCATTCTGTAGGTGACGATGGCAAACAGGCCCGCATCAATCAAATCGAACACGAATCTCAACCCCACCAACTTTCGTGCATCATCGTCAACCGATCACTTCGAACACGAATCTCAACCCCACACGCCTTTGTGTCCCGCTGGCATACACCGCGCATCAACAAAAGCGTGTGCGAGGAGAACAATTCTTAGCCGCCAATCAAAAGGGTGCGCTAACCCAAGTGGGATTTGGCCTCCCAAAAGCATTGTATTCCCCCTCCCACAACTTGAGAGAGAGAGAGAGAGGAACGGTGAGCCACGAAACGAAACGAAACGAAATGAAATGAATGATATAGGCTTCGACTGCAAAGGACGTGCCTCGCGCGCACACGTCGACCGAGTTATATATAGCATGTAATCTTTTGGATGCACGCACTTTGCATCTACTTTGGAATGACATGTGAAGTCACTTAATCTTAAGGTGATAAGAGTAGATTACCATCATCCATCTCTTTTTTATCTGTTCAGTTCATTTCACTTTTTCATTGTTTAAAATAACAATGCTCTTTGCTGTGATATCTAGATTGATTAGTGTAATGTTATCTTAATGATAGGTCTTAGGTCCGAATCTAGTGTCGTATATGTTAATTGATATAATTATTATTTATTTTTTTTTTCAAAAAGAATCTCCTTTTACTTTATTCTAGCATAGTGCTTGTTATTTTTTAGAAGATAGATTATCTTTAATCTTTGCCGCATCGATCATCGTCTTTTCTTGTCATAGTCGCTTTTGCCCTTGCCCTAGTCCATCATTGTCGAGGAGCTATTAAGGCTTGATCGCAAGACCCTCGCTCTCTATCTTCGCAACAACTCACGTCATTGTTATCGGTTCCTCTTTTACCTTCGTCTCAAATGTCTCATATTATATAATATTCAATAAAGGTATTCACGACCTCCTACGATGAAGGAGTGTACCCTCGTCTGCTTTCGTTTCTTATCATTGCTTCATTAGAGAAACATAATAACTCAAGAACGAGACACAAATAATGTTTATAGCGGTGAGTCATGTAAGGAAGGAGAGAAGAAAGTTGTGTCGTGATTGCCTCCTTCCCCTTAACTTTTGTTGGATGAAAAAGATCATTAGGGCTCGAAATTTCAGAAGGTGGAGAAGGGGACCCAAGATACCCTCCTCATAGCAAGAGAAGGGATATCCGAGATGAATGTGAGGAAGGAAACGATAGCAAACATGGTAAGTTATCATGAAAATAAAGAGAAAAGATAAGAACCTCACAATGAGGCTTTAGTGTCATCTCGATAAATAAAGATGAGGATAATGACGTGACAACAATAGCGAACAAGGGACATAAACGACAAAGACGAGACCAGTCGAACATAATATTATTTTTTTAAGATTAAAAAAAGTAAAAGGATATATTTTAGAAGAAAAGAAATAAAAGATTATAATTTTTTTGAGAATTTGTCCGAATACGAATATATATTATTTTGAATATTAATTAAATAAAGATGCCAACGCGTCGCTTTGGTTCATCGTCTTTCTTTAACGCGGCGGACCGTGAGGCGGAGAAAGGTTTCATGATTCCTAGTGGCGTCTTTATGATTTCCACTCTGATGCTGATGGAAACGTGAGCGGCGAAAGAAGCGCCACAATTGATCGAAGCGCTCCTCTATAAATGGCGAGTACCGGGAGGGAGCCTCAAGCAGTGCCTTGTCCCGGTTGATCCGAGTCCCGTCCTCCGATTTCGTGCAAGAAGAGAAGGGAATCGAGCGAGATGGCGGAGAAAGGATCGGTGATCGGGTGCCACACCATCGCCCAGTGGAACCGGCAGCTCCAACTCGCCAGCGAGTCCGGGAAGCTGGTAAGGTTCCGACTTGCTCGACCCCTTTGTGTTTTGCCTCTAGGGTTTTGTGTGTTAATGTCACATTGCGACCTCGTCATGGAAACAACAAACTCTTTTCTTGCACTAAAAACCCCGCATTGGCAGGAGGAGCTTTATATGCCGAGCTTAGAATTTTAGACTCAGGGTTTTGAGTCATTCTTTATAGGATTTTATGAGTTGATATTATTTTCTATGTTCTATCTGTTGATTTATATTGGTCTAAGATCATTGTTATTGTGCAAGAATTTTACAGAGAGAAAAGCTAATGACAGAAAAAGAAAGGAGAGTGCCATCAAATGCTATTTGGGTGCCAAGGGACAAATTTGTTCTGATGCCATGTTCCATTCTTTGACCGTAATGTCTAATATCAATGATATCTGAATTAAACGATGTCATTGTGACGGTGGATGTCTAATGTCTAAGTTACAGAAAACATAGGAGGGTGTCATCAAATGCTATTCTCTGGTAATTGGATGCCAAGGGGCAAATTTATTGTGACGGAAGGTTCCATTTTTTGATCATGGTGTCTAATCAATGATATCTAATTTAAAGGCTAATGCCTAAAGCACAACCCTTTCTTCCTTTGAACTTTTATATTCTGTGTGTACTCCACTTAATTGAGCATATCGAGTTCTGTCAAACTAAGTCTATCAAACTTATGGTGGTGAAGCTGATGATTCCAAGAGATCAGGAAGATCTTTCTATTCAACATCCATGTTTTTTCTTATACCATTGTTTACAACTTAGTTACATCTTTTCTTCCGTTCCTGTTTCATAAATGCATATTTATTTTCTGAAAAATGTAAAGCTAAACAGAGTCGAATTCTATCAAACTGCTGCATCTCTTGTTGGCTCTAAAGATTTGTCTGGTTTACAGGTGGTCGTAGATTTCACTTCTTCATGGTGTGGTCCTTGCCGTATGATTGCCCCGTTCTTCGCTGAGCTAGCTAATAAGTTCACCGATGCCATCTTCCTAAGGGTGGACGTCAATGAGCTGAAGGTAAAAACTATCAACATGCAGATTAAACTCGTGCCGCTGTTGTTTGCGAGGTGAAATTATGTTTCTAATTCTCTAACCTGTGTCACCAAATGGCAGAGGGTTGCCCTGGACTGTGCGATCGAGACACTGCCAACCTTCATCTTCCTGAGGCAGGGAAACATTGTGGATCGCGTTGTTGGTGCTCGTAAAGATCTGTTGCCTAAGAAGATTGAGCTCCACATGAGGAACTGAATGCTCGCTTGCAGTATTGGTGTCGGTGTTGGGTCGTGAACTCGGAGATTTTGTGGGGTTAGAATAAACATATGTACTGAATTCCATCGGTTCATGATTATATTAACTATTGAATAAACTAGTCTTTCATCTACATTTAAGGCCTGCAAATGTCTGTGTTGGTGACATGATGCTTCTCTTGGGTGTTTCAGTAGCAATGATGTTTAGAAAATAGAAGAAAAATAATCATGAGAGCGATATAAGTTATACATCTTCGCTGAATAACAGTATAATAGTCGATATGAGTCGTTTTATCACACAATTATTACTTGGGGGTTAGAAGTTCTATAACATTTGAAAATTATACTCTTATCGGAAATGAAACGTGTAACTATGTCTTATCAAATTTTGTTTAAGAATCAGAGAAGTCATAAAATTGAGACAAATTAGCTAATCGGCCAATATTTATTTGATATTTCAATGCTACTCGCATACTGATTCGAAGCTCGCTAATGCACCAATATATTAACCAACTCAAATGTCTCACAGGCAAAAAAGCAGAATAAAATGAAAGAGAAATGTAGAAAGACAAAGAGGATGAGGAAAGGAATAAGGAGGAAAGAGAAAAAAAGTAAAGAGATACGTCCAAAAATGGAATAAAATGAGAGAGAAATATAGAAAGAAAAAGAGGAAGAGGAAAAGAACAAGGGAAAAGAGGGAAAGAAAGGAAAATTTATGAGAGTGAAAGGAAGGGGAAGAAGACAGAAGACAAAAACAAAAAGAAATAAAGGAAATAAAAAGAGAAAATAAAAATATTGAGCTATCACTCTGCCAGTCGATAATGCAAACGATTGGTAAGAAAACTTTTATACATCTATCTTTACAGAGTTTCAAATTAACATGTTTGTCTTGAGACGATCACCGCATCAACAAGATTTGCTCGGTGGCCGATCAGGCAAAGAACACCATTGCCGCTGGAGCCATTACTGCAACCTGAAGCTTCAGACGGCGAGTCGGATGCCTTAGTTAATTGCTGGTCCATGATTCCATCATCGTTCACTGCAAGCCTCCTTCTTCCTCCTCCCACATCCGGTGCTTTCGACGCAGGCGCTGTTCCAAGAACAACCTCTTAAGTAAACCATGGCAATCACCTGGAAGCAACTCATTTCATTTCAACTGCAAATGTATAGAAGGATGAATGCAGATATGTAGAGTAGGATCAGTGTGTTCTCCAAGAATTTGACAATGAAGGTGGGAGGAAAATAGATACAAGTGCAAGCTCTCCAAGTTTGAACTTCAAGAAGCTCGTCCATAGGAAGAGCTTCTCCATCTTTCTCTCATCGTCCTGTTGGACCCAACGATTACTGTGACTTTGTTGCTACCTACTTCTGCTTGTGGCAAATGAAAAGCGAATTCATGGTTGTCACGCGTTCACCATCTTATCATCCTATCCTATCCTATCCAATCCTATCCAATCCCATAATGAAAGCTATTGACATAGTAATTCTTAAAAATTAAATATATCATATATATACCATTATTTTTAGTCGGATGACAAGAGAATAATAGATGAAACATATTATATATATATAATATTCTCAAGATCTTTAAAGAATATTAGTTTTGTGAGTGATGAATTTATTCTTAAGGACATGAATAATCACATTATTTTGAAAGATGAATTTTTTTTACGATTTCTCGTTAGATTCCTGTTTTGCTAAAAGGATTTAAACATACAACGACTATATTGACTTTTTTCAACTCATGGACTATATATGATATGTCGAAACGATTTATTGATACTTTGATAATGATCATAATAATTTTTATAGGATAAATTACTGTGCCCTTTTTTTTGTTTCCTCGGAGATATCCAACTCCTTGAAAATTTGTAATTATGGTTAAGTATGTTTTTTCTTTTTTTATCTGTCAGGGAAAATATTGGAGTGAAAATAATAATAATAATAATAATAATAATAATAATAATAATAATAATAATAATAATAATAATAATAATAATAATAATAATAATAATAATAATAATAAAGACGG